ATTCAAACTTTCTTGGTCACCTTGAGTTATCCTCTATCATTGAGCCATTATAGATTATACGGTTGTGGATACTTTGTTGTTGCCAAGCCAAGTGTATCTACTATTAAGGTACTAGTAACATTAGTGCAACTACCTCCATCAATAATAACAAATCATATATTTCCTCCAATGTGGCAGCGAGTATGGAAGACATTTTCACGTTGTTCATCTCCTCCATTGGATTGCACGTTTAGGCTTCTTTTGAAAACAAGAACCTCTTCTTCCACACATGCTCTAATTCTTCCATATCAATGGTAGCAGCTTTTTTCTCATCCTCTTTTTATTCCGATTTAACTTCTTCATCATCTTGAAGAAGCATGATGTTACGATTTGGACATTGGCTTGCAATGTGTCCATACCCCAAACACTTAAAACATTGTATGTCACGGGAACGATTTGGAGTGGCGGCAATCATACCCTTGCTGGTTTCGACAATGGGCTTAATTTTTTTGGGTGGCCCTCCTCTTTCGTGGGATGGCAATGGAGGGGTCTTCTTGTATGAACTTTTCCCCATTTTGAAGTTACACTCCCATAAGATCATGTGGCACAATTCCTTTTGAGTTGCTTTTCCATCTTTATGGCCATATGCACTATGTCTTCCATTTTCACATAATGTTACAACTTAACCACGCTCGTAATGTCCGAATTAAGTCCCGATAAGAATCTTGCCATTGTGGCTTCTCGATCCTCATCGATGTTGGCTCAAATCATGGCCATCTCCATCTCTTTGTGATAATCTTCAATACTTCGGTTACCTTGTGAAAGGTTTTGAAGACGGATGAATAACTCCCGATGGTAGTGGGTTGGAATGAATCACTTTCGCATCACTGCTTTCATTTCATCCATGTAGTGATAAGATGTTCTCCATTGTGTCTCCTACTTGATGTCAATTGACCCCACCATATTAGTGCATAATCCATAAACTTAAGGGCAGCTAGTTTTACCTTCTTGAGTTCGAAATAATCATGGGACCAGAAGATATGCTCTACCTTCTTTTCCCATGCTAAGTAAGCCTCGGGATCCGTCTTTCCTTGGAATGGTGGAATGAAAATCTTGATATTAACAAGATTATCATCCATTAATGGACGAAACCTTTTGGGCCTTGTACCTCGATTTCCCTTTCTTTATTGAGATGCACGATCTTCTTCTGGTCTTTTCACTTCTTCATTTCCTCCATTATTGGCATCTTATTGCACTCGGAATCCTTGAGTACACTCCTCTTCAATACGATAAATATGTTCATGGAGAGGTTCCAACTCTTCCCTCAAAATCCTGGTCAATTCACGCACCATTGCTTGCATTTGTAGGTTTGGTTCAACATTACCTGTAACTTGAGAATTATCTCCTGAATGATGAGACATAATTAGTAATAAAAAAATAACCTCACACAAAAAAAAGAAACCTCACCAAACACTCTAAGAAAAGTCACCCCACTCGTGTTTCATTCGAGATGACTTTTACTCTTAATGATCACCCTTGCCTTTTACCACTCCCGCTTTGATTTCAAGTCCTTTTGGGAACTTCCTCAAGGCTTACAAGGTCTAGTTGACTTCGGCTGAAACAATTGTGGCTTGGTAGTAAGGATAGTGAAAAGAAATTGGCTACAAGGAAAAGAGATGGTAAGTAAAGGTAACAAAATTTAATAATTGAACATAAAGATGAAGTAAATATTTTTTTAAAGATGAAAAGAATTACTCCCTCCCTCTTTAAATTTTTTTCTTTCTTCTTTTTTTTGATTTGTTTTTTTACTAACATGGGAGAGAGAAAATAAAACGATACGCTTATTGAATCGACTAGATCTGATACCAAATGATATGATCTCGATTATGAGTTTTGAATCATATATATGATTGCCCAATCGTGATTCTAGTAAGATGATGGAAGTTGTAGTTTGGATGTAATGAAACTATGGCGAAGGTATGGGTTGGTGATGGCGTGGAATATGGAAGATGGATTGAAAAGAATATGGAAGATGGATTGAAAAGAATATGGATTATGACCCTCTAACTATATGGAGTTAGGAACCAGCAATATAAATAGATGGAATTGAAGTGGAAGTAGATGGAACGTGACCCACTAGCTATAGATGAGCTAGGAACCAACGCTAACAAAAGGAAATGAATGAAGACAACAACACTATCTTGAAGCTGATAAAGTTATACAAGAGAACAAGAATGAAATCAAACTCTCAAAGATGTTTTATATATTCAATTTGTGTCTACAAATGATCCCAAAGGTGTCTATTTATAGTGTTTCTAAGCAGCATATGAAAAGAGTCAAAAGATGAAAACATTCTAATCAATTTAGCAATAAAATGCACTTGAATGCTTTGTCTTCTTATCTTCAAGGTTGACTAAATATTCTAGATCATTTTGGGGATGAATCTAGATAATTTGACCTTAATTTCGTCCAAGGGGTGAAAGACTCTTGCTATTCCATGCTGAAAATTGTCTTAACAAGTGAATTAAATCACCCTTCATTGCATGCTCCCTTGAAGAATGTGAACAACCCTTGAACTTAGTTGATAACAATCAGCTTTGAATGCCTTGAATGAGTGAATTAAGAGTCCTTCAATGGCTTGTCACTTGGCTGAAGTTGAAAAGACTCTCCATTCGCTTAAACTCATCCAAATCATCCATGTATAAAATTCCCGGAACAAAATTCCAACCTGCACTGTCTTCAATAAAACGATCATATCTCAAGCTCCCGATATCGGATTAAGGTGATTCAAAAGGAGTTGGAAAGCTAAGAGATAGATGAATAATGTCCAATTGATTTCTAGAACCAAAAACCTCTGTATCGCATCCAGAATTGGAAGACACTATGACTGACATTCTTGCATATGATAAAACCATTCAACTTCTCTCATGCACCTAGACACAAAGGTGAACTTTATTCAATATTTAATTGAAAACATGCATGAAACAATTAAGAGTTAATTTAATAAATGAACTAGTTTGATGAATGAACTACTTCCCTAAATGAACTAGATGATTTAAATGCAATGCATGCTTGAATGAACATCACACTTATTAAATGCAATGAATGTTATGCAAACTTTATATTCTCATGCAAGTTCATGCATAAGCAACGTAAAGTGATCCTCCCTTATTATTCCTTCTTCATCACGTTCCAAACTTGAAGTAAACATACTCTCCATGGTTGCTTGAAACTCCTTAGCTGTTGCTCGTGCGATGGGGCCACTTGGGTACTTCTCTGGGTCTTTGCTATTGGTGATCATATCATAAATAAAGATGTGAATTAATAAGTTATGCATGAATATCATATATTATACAATAAATGAAAAAAATATAATACTCAAGCATGATCTAAAGAATATTCACTTCACATTTAATGCATAGATGAGTAAATAAGAAATTAAATAAGGTAAAACTCCCTTAGAATCAACTTGGAAGAACTTTAAAGTTGTGAGCATGTTCTGAACAAATTTGGTGCCCGACATGATCACATCACTTCTGCTCATGGGCTTGAAGAGAACACACAAGCTCATTGATCGATATTTGAGATAAATTTTTTGATTTCCACGACCAGATAGTCAATTTTTTGTGAAAATGACCGCAAAAATCTTTTCCATCACTCTAACCTCTTCGAGAGATCCACCTTTCTTTTCATTTCATTTACTACCGCTTTCACATGGCTAATGTAATCATTGTTTTTTTGTATTTTTTATTTTTAACATTACAAACTCTGCTCTTAGGGATTGTAAACTTACTTTTTTCGCTTTTCGGCACCTTGAAGAGATTTTTGTAAAATCTCTCATGCTTGTTTTGCGGTCTTTACATCGAATTTTTTTTCAAATGTAGATTCGTCTACTCCATGAAAAATAAAGAACAACACCCTCTTATCTTTTTTACGAGCTTCCTTTAGTGCCCTTTTCTCTTTATTTGTTAAAGCTACTTCGACCGCTACATTATCGGGCTCGACGTAACCTTCCTCGATGATGCCCCAACAATCTTGGGAACCACGTAACGCCTTCATTTAAATACTCTAATTGCCATAATTTGACTTTGTCAATCTCGAGATTTATGGTTGAATCGTGTTGATCATCTTCTCTGCTACGTAAACTCGAATCAAACTCTAGATATCACTTGTTGCAAGAGTAAATGTGCACTAGATGTACTTAATAATTTAAGCAATATTACTACTTCGAAACAAAATACAATACAACTCTAGTTGCAGCTAGTTAACAAACACAACCCTACTACAATTTTGTTGCTCTCTTAGTCTCTCTAATTTTTTTCTTCACATATACATACACTAAACTAAAACTAAAACTAAAACACATATTTATAAGGGTAATTAATGGCCCAAATGAAACGATTAGATGTTGCCAAATTCTTCTTGCATTGCCGCAACAAATTACTTGTAGTAATGAAATTCCATGTCCATTTTCTTGCCACGTTGACTCCATCAATTTATTCTCAATTTTGCAACCTTAAGCTACAGCCAAACGTTAATTGTTGCATTCGTTTTAATCTTAGTTGCTGCACCTTCATTCTCTTAATTGTTAACATCTTTGTATTGATGACGTGATTAAGTTTTCATGTTGTGTTGCCTCACAACTTCATATCCACTTGCCACATATGGTTATCCATATGTGGATATTTTCAAATCCACTATTTTGATTCAAGTTTTGCCGACATTAATGGAAAAGTAGGTTTGATATTCTAGCAATTCCAAAGAATCCACAAGATGAGTAAAGAAATCAAAGTTAAATGTTGCTCTTCTACATCAACAATATTGAGATTAGCAAAATCCCTCCTCCATAACTACATGATGAAATTGCTAAGAAGAATAAATGAGACAACCGAAACACAAGGAAGTATAGAAACTAAAATGTAAATTTAAGCATAATAAAGGGACCAAAACAGGAATTTGAGCTATTTATTATTGTTGGCAAAATCAAGGAAACTTATCAACGGTTGCGGGAAGAGGAAATCCAATCCGGGAAAAAAGAAAATGCATTTGTTTATCGAGTAAACAGAAACAAATTCATTGGAGATGCAGCCGGTTGTACTTGCTGCATTCCCCAACTGTTGCTCTTTCGTTCCCACACGCCTAGTTCATTTCAATTCCGGAGAAAAACCCATCACCATTAATGTTTCCTTCCCCAGGAATCAATCGCACCTCAAAACCCTCTGTTTTTTAGCTCTCCCTAAGACCACCTACGATTTCAGCCAACCCCAGCACGAGAATCAGAACAGAACCAACAGCTACACGTACCCAGATCATAAATCCACCTTTTTAGAACAATTTTATCCTTCCTTCAGCCAGAAAAACGTGAATAATCAAGACCCAGATCCGCAAGACCAAGAAGAAGAGGAGGAGGAAAAACATCCTGAAAGGACCAATTTTGGGGGTTTTCTAAGAGTCATTTTCTCGAAAATGTGGTGGACGGATTTGAGGGCAGCTGTGGGACAAAGAATCAATGTTGAAGGCATCTTGTTTTCGGTCCGGGTGTTTGTTAAAGACCGTCACTTGGCGTTGCCGCATGTTGCAGTGCGTGATATAAGGTGCATTGATTGGTCTGAGCTCCACAGAAGAGGGTTTAAAGGCGTGGTTTTCGATAAGGACAATACCATTACTGTTCCTTATTCTTTGACGCTTTGGCCTCCTCTCCGTCCTTCCATTGACAAGTGCAAGGATGTTTTTGGACCTGATATCGCCGTGTTTAGCAACTCTGCCGGTACTTTTTTTGGCTAGTCTCTTTCGAAATCGTGTCCTTTTTATTCTTTACTCATTGATGTTTTGTTTCCCCCTTGTCTCCATGAATTAAGGTCTTTTAGAGTACGATTATGATGGTTCAAAGGCGAAGAAACTAGAAGGGACTATTGGGATTAAAGTGATAAGGCACAGTAAGTTTTCCCCTTTCCTTTCAAGATTTTTGTTTAATTCTGTTAACAAATTCATTTCTATAGCGTTTATGAAGGAAGAAATCGATTCTTCAGCTGTATGTTATAGTTTCAATCATGTGTTAGAACATTAAACACGTAAAAACCTTGGGATGAGTTACAACTTCTGCTAAAGATTGTAAGATTTAGCACACATTAATTTGAGTTAGATTTAATTTATGAAGAAAGTGTTTGGTTTATCTAGAATTGATTAGGGTCTCCATATGATGTCTTTGTAGAGGTGAAGAAACCAGCTGGAACAGCTGAAGAAATCGAGAAACATTTTGGATACAAGTCATCGCAACTTATCATGGTATGTAAAAGGCAATAGAGCTAACTGGGGGTGGTTAATTTTATCTTGATTTTGGATTATGTCGGCGACATAATTTATGTTCATGGCAGGTGGGTGATAGGCCCTTCACAGATGTTGTTTATGGAAACCGTAATGGATTTTTCACTATACTAACTGAGCCTTTAAGTGTTGTTGAAGAGCCATTCATTGTTAGGCAGGTTGGTTTTCTTCTCCTTCTCCTTTCCTTTTCGTTTATTTATTTGTTTTTTTGCTCTAAAGGATCTTATTGAACAATCTGAAAAAATAGGATTGAGGACCCAAACCCTGACGAAGTATCTTTGTACTCTTATTCTGTGAGTAACTTGCTGGCTGCTGAAGGTTAATCTCGGAAATTAAACCTAGCTGTTAGCTTTAGATGTTAATAAACCATAGCTATTGGATCTTTTTTTCGTTCTTCTACAACGCCTTAATCCGTTTGGTTGCCTTTTTCTAATCCTGTGTTCTCCATTTGATGAGTAGACTGTCTATTAACCTAGCATATTTAGGGTTGATGGACTCAAAGTCTTCAACTCTCACAGCAATTATACGTATGTCTATATAAATAATGATGAGAATTGTATGGTGAATTTTGTGTTACAGGGGTTCAGCTAGTTTTGTTCCTTGATATAGTGTTTTGTGGATCACCTAGATCTTTTTTTTTCTTTGATGGAACTATCTAATCCCCTGCCAATTGATACTGACTTGAATTATCCCGTATCTGCACTACATTAAGATAACACCTGTTCGGAAAAAATTATTCCCCAAGTTTTTTAATTGCATGATGCTTGCGTCAGTGTGCTCATATGTTTATGAATTTTATTCTGTTATGATATTCCAACAAACTTCCTTTATCGATCAACACTCATTCTCTGGTAGATATACCACTTCTTTTCAAGGTGGGTATTTCGATTGACAATTATACTGAACAACATGGACAATTTTTGAACCATCTTTTACCTGTTTTCATTAATTACAATCGTGAGACGCATGTTCAACGAAGGCTTTTCACACGAGGAGGATGGATTTGGGAAGTTAACTGCAAGAACCCCATAGAAAGAATGGATGTGAAAATTGTACTCTGAGCTATTTGTTTGTTTTGGACTCTCTTGGATGCATTCCATCTTTCTAATGTCGAACATGAAATATTTTGGGTACTATATATGAAATAATGTGCTAAAAGATTTATGCGAGACAAATGTGTTGTGCTGTTTTAATCTTTAATAGTATATAAAATGCTAATTATCTGTTTTTCTTTTCTTTTTTCCTGAGTTTTCTAGTGTTTTAAATGGAAAACAACTGTACATTGGATTGAAAGCTGAAATAGTATAATGTGAAAATAAGATTTTGCTGAAAGGATGATTTACAGTTTTCTGTTTTTGCTTCTTTGTTATCCTGTTCATCTTTGCTTTGGCATCGTTTCATGGTATGTATAATATCTGATATTTCTGTCAAATGCTTGATGAACTGTAATGGAAGAAAGTAAATGTTTGCAGGTTCGGAAACTAGAACTGACCGTCGTAAATTGGTGGGTTAGAAGAGGTTTGAAGCCAGTTAGTCATAGTTTGCTACCAGATGCAAAGCAGTGTCTGAAAGATTCAGATTGTTAGTAAGAATGTTATGGATACATGTGAAAATAATTGTTGATGTAGCCTATGACAAATTTTTTAGTCATGATTATTTGGTTTTACCAGCCATGTGAGCCCATTAGTTTTTTCATTATTTGTTGCTATTACCCAACAAGTGAATTTAGTCTTTGAATTTACCCAAGTAAGTTGATAGGCATAGGCCTGTAAATGAACTGAACGTTAAACGAACCGTTCATGAACCGTGCAGCGGAAAATTCGATTACGTGCGTTATTTATTAAAAGAACGAACATGAACAAGATTTTGTATTCATTTAATTAAATGAATGAACATGAACATAGGTTTCGTTCGTTCATTTACGTTCGTGAATGTTCGTTTATGTTCGTTCGATTATGTTCGTTTATGTTTATTCATTTATGTTTAACCCAATCTTCTTAAATCAATTTTGGTGACCAATTTGTAAGTATCTTAAAAATATTAATTAATCTGATATTTTGATGACAAATTTTATAATTAATCCAATTTTATTTGGAGATTAAATCCAATATGTTAATCCTGTGAGGCACCTCGCACCTATATTTATTTTCCCTATTTTTTTCCCAAACCCTAGTGTTCACTAGAGAGTGGAGATGATCTCTGAAAGCTTCAAAAACAAGTTATATTATAGTGCAATCTAAATTTTTACAGGTCTGTTTTCATCTCTTTCTATGTTTTATTTGACTTAATAGTTAATATGTAAAGTTATTGCGGGTATCTTCACATCTAAAACTCAAGAAAACATCATACTTCTTTTTAGAAATATATGGGAAGATAAAGGTCACAATCGGAAGTATATAAGCATCAGTAAAGAGAAAAACATATAGAATTTACCAGAAAATAAAACAAAGGTTTTTATGCAATTTCTGAAAAATAGTATAATAGCGGAAGTAATGGGTTTTCTAGGAAGAATTCATTAATAAGTAGAAAATACACTTTGATAATGAACTTTTGTTTTCATAGTTCTTGTGTGACTTTTAGTTGTGGAGTAGACTTTAGGTACGCTAAAATTTTGAATGGTGATTTAGCAATAATATCGTTTACGATATGTAGCATCGAAGGGATTTCGGATCTATCTTATTGTCTTATAGTCCAATTTGTACCGTTCGAAATCTTCATGCTGTTAAATTTTCTACTCTGCCAACGGAAAGGACCAGTATGAACAAACCTGACTAAAGTCTGACATTGATGTCACAAAACTTTTAGCCGGCGAATTTATTAGAATAACGTAGTGGAAAATGATTGTTCATATGTAATCATGGACCACTAAGATAAATGCTATAGCGTTAAATTAAAGTCGAGTGAATAATTTAATATCTTTAAAAGATCGATCGAAATATTTGATATCTTCAAATATTTCATCACTACTAATTAGCTCTTACGCTGTTTATCACTGTAGATTAGGTTGATTTGCATTGTCGACTATTTTTCATGAAAGAACAATGTAAGGTAGGGTCTCCAATGTTTATGTTCGTGTTCGTTTATGTTCGTGTTCGTTTATGTATTAAATAAACGAACATGGACAAAAAAAATTTTGTTCGTTTATGTTCGTGTTCGTTTATTTATTAAATGAACGAACATGAACATACCTCCGTTTGTATGCGTTCGATTCGTTTACAGGCCTAGGTAGGCATAAAATAGGCAAATTGGTTTTTACTATCTCACAAGTTTGCTTAGCTGTGTTGATTCTCCATCCTCATTCATTTTTGGTTTAATACTCAAATAAGTGTCCAAATTATATACTTTTCATCCAAATTGGTGCCTATAGTATTTTTTGGTACATCCACGTGCCTAATTGTTATAAACATGACCAATTTAGGTGCATGGGATGTAACGGCTGTTAGTTTTCACTGTTAAGTGACACATGTTATAATCTCTTAATTTTGAAATTTATATATTTTTTTAAAAATATTAAAAATATTATTATATTTATAAAAAACTTAATTTCTTTTAAATTACAAAAAAGTCTCAAAATCACTAAAATCTCCAAATCTTAATATTAACCCGTCGCCGCCGCTCTTTCCGGCCAAAACCATTACTGACGACGTAGTCTCTATCATCATCCTAGTTATATGTCGTCATAGTAGTCGTCAATTGGCCGTTAGTATCCTGTGGGATCACGATTTTCATCCTAGGGTATGCGGGGTTTAAAACATCGATCAGTCATGATTTCATAGTAGTTTTGGTCGCCGGTGGGAGGTGATGTCGGGTGAGCTTCATCGACGGCAAAGGGCGGTGGCCAGCTTATGTTTAGGGGTTGAAATGAAGGTTTTCAAAGTTTTGGAGTTATTTCAAAATTTATATGTTTTTTTAAAAAACATAGAATTTTATTTTTAAAGTTTTATAAGAAGTTTTAAAATTATCGTATTGTGATATGTGTCAATTAACGGAGGAAATTAATACCGTTGACGGCCCGAACACTTAAAGCGGTAATGTTTGTAACATTTGGCACCTGGATGGGTCAAAATATATTGTAGACACCTATTCGGAAAAAATGATATAGTTTAAGCACTTATTTGGGTATTAAGCCTTCATTTTTCAAACAGGATAGGTGGATTTACAACCTTTTTCTTCCCTAACCGACTGTTTTCAGTTTCAATTTTTATATAATTTCTGATACATTAAACTATTTTTATTTTACGTGTTATTTATTAAAGTCACGTGTTTTAGTTCCAATGTAATCTCAAGTTTATTTAGTTATATATATATATAAAAAAAGCATTATATATTGTTTACATTTAGGTATTACTTTATTTTGAATCCATCAAGTTTCGGTTGTTAATCGAAGAGTTGCTCTTTTTAGAGTTTTGAATTTGAAGATCTACGTTTGTATGATGTGTGTTACATTGTCAATAATGAGTATATATTATTTTGTATTCGTCCTGAATTATTAAAAAAACAGAGTGCCTATTTTTTATGTTTTAGTAGTCGATGAACTCAATAAAACATATTCTAATAATCGAAAGATTATTTTGTAACTTTCAATAGTTTGAAATTCAATAGAACACAATTCTATAGTTAGTGAATTATTTATATATTTTACTTTTCAATTTAATATTAATTTTATGATGATAATAGTCAGTAAAACAATTTACATCATTAATTGTTCTCGTTAAAAAATTAATACTTTATTTATAACAATTAATATTAATTTTATAATGACATTAGTCGGTAAAATAATTTACATAATTAATTGTTCTTGTTCAAAAAATAATATTTTATTTATAACAAATCCATTTTAATCAGGGATGAAACTATGCTTCGTCCCGGGGTTAATTGTCCCCTACTTTTTTATAATTTAAAAATATATATGGATATATACCAAATTAGGCCTTATAATTTTAGTTTATTTTGATTTTATTTTTCATTTTCTATGGTTAGTTTTACTTTGTCTCCCTCAATTTTTAAGGTTATTTACATTTTGTCCCTTTAAACTAATGTCTCGGCTCCGTCCCAGATTTTAATAGTAGATTTTTCTTGTGTCAAAAAGGAAGTTTATAAGAAAAATGTATTGAAAGTAACTGTTTTAATGACATGACATTCTAAGAATAGAATGCCTAAATTATATCAAAGTACATAGATTATATTTGGAGTATAATAGATGATCATTATATATATATATATATATTATTTAGACTTGAATGGAAAGAAAGAATCATTTTGGGGTTTTGGGAGAGATGTTGATGGGCATTCCTTTAGATGGAAGTGGGAGAGGATCCATGATAATGGACTCATTAGGATGAACCAATGACCAGTTGTAACCAGTAAGTACATAATGCAGGAATATGAGGATGTTTAACTTGGCAAGCTGATAGCCGGCGCATCTTCTCGCCCCTCCTCCGAACGGAACATAAACATAGGGCGGCACCGATTCCCGGAATCTGCTGGGATCAAATCGCCATGGATCTTTGAAATACTCTCCATCGTAATGTGTTCCGTACGCTGTCCATAACACCTGCATATGCGCGCATATAACGCCATACTATAAGCCATTATCTTCACCAGAGGAATTAATGAGTGCAGCTATGAGGAGGTACGTACCTTCCAGCCTTTGGGAATGGTGAATCCTTGGTATTCAATGTCTGCAACCGCTTTCCTAAAAGAGCCGAATATTGGAGGGAACAGCCTCATGCTCTCTCGAGCAGCTTCCCAGATATACTCCATTTTCTTCACATCTCCTAGTCTCAGTTCTTCACCTTCCTTCTTCGTCTTCATCACACCATCATGCTCTGTCAAAACAATAGGGCTTGTTTTGAATATTATGTAGTTGAAAAACATTGCCTAAAGTACTTTGAAGGGGATGTTGCTACTACACCTTGAAGGATTCTAGAGTAGCAGTGTGGATGTTGAGCTAACATTTTGAAGGTCATGGCAATGGCGAACGAGGTCGTATCATGAGCTGCAAAGACCAGCAAAACCACATTGTCAATCACCTCTTCTTCTGTGAGATCCCCACGAATCATTGCAGCCACCAATCGTGCCAGCAGCGTACTACTACTACATCCCATGCTGGTTTTTTCCATTTCTTGTCTCTTTTCAGCCACTACTTTCTGCAACATCTTCACAATCTCCACCCTTGCTCTCTTGGCTCTTGAAAATTTAGAACCGGGGAAGTTGATGGGTGGAGCGAAGGCACCTTCCAAAACTCTTTCAAATGTCCCCAACATCTGTGGCTCCACATTGATCCCTAACAAGCACTCGAACACTATGGTGAATGTCAAAAGCTTCGTCGAACAATAGAGGCTAACCCTATCTTTTCCATGCCAGTAACTTTTGAGGTGCAATTGAACTGCCCTGCATATTTTAGGCACTAGACTCCCCAACGCTGAACAGCTGAGGCTGGAGGTTATTAAACCTCGTTGGAATCGATGTTGGTCCCCTTGCTTTTCCATGATTGAGTTTCGTCCCATGAGTTGAACCGATGACGAAGGCCATGAGCTTATCACTAACTTGAACTCGTTCGACAATATGAACCCATTCGCTTCGGCTCCGTTGACGATGACGGTCGGTGATCCCATGAGGCTTGTTTTGAAGATTTTTCCGTACTTTGCTATGCGCGGTTCGACGAAATCCTCGAACAATCGATTGCTGCGTTGAGCTTTGTAGAACTCCATTGTTTCACCTATCAATGGCAGCCCAAGTTTCCCCGGCGGGAGTTTACTCTTTGATGTATAACAACGTTTCTTGCGTTGGAAGAAAACGGTGGAGGAGATGATTGCTGCTAGGCAAAACAAAATCAATGGAAGAAAACTGTTCATCTCCACAGCCATTTTCCTTTTGAGGTATGAGGAAAATATACTGAGAAAACCAAGAATTTATATACCTTCCTGGATATTGATACTCAAACTCAAAACCCCATTTTTGGTTTTCTAAGAAATGTCAACTATGTATGTATGTATGGGCTCAACAGAGATTGACTTGGAACAGAAGAATATGAGAAGAATGAACAGTGAACATGGGCAATGCATGTGCCAGCAGATACCCTCACCGCCCTCACAATAACAAAAGGTAATCATCATAAAATATCTGAAAATTATTCATTATCTGATTGAGTGGTAAAGAATCCCTTGTTTAAGTGTTGCTGGAATTTTATTTTTTAATTCTCAGAATATCCCTACAAATCTGCAATGTGAAAACAAAGTCAAAGTGAATAAAGAGGGGTAATTAAATAAGGGCCAAGTTATGAGAATCAAATGTCAACTCGTGGGATATTCATTCAACTTGAGTATGTAGGAGCAAGATTTTTTTTTTATTAATTTGGAGAAGTACAACACAATATCTGATTAAAGATAACTCTCAATCATTTGGCATTGAACATTCATACTCGTGATATTTCTGATGTTCGAATTCAGGGCCTCAAAGAATAACTACAATTCTTTTTACCATCGAGGTCGCTTAGTTCGTGCTAGGAAATTAATAATAATATAAAGAGTAAACCACACATTTAGTGCCTAAACTATCACTTTTGTTTCATTTTAGTACCAAAACTTTCATTTTTTTTAAAATCAGACCTAAACTCGACTTGAATTGAATTCGAGTTGTAATTTCATAAACTCTCCTCGACTCAAAAAAATTTCAAGTTCAAATCAAGTTGTAAAATACAACTCGAATAACTTGAAATTTTTAATAATTAGTAGATTGATTTTCAAGTTTGAGTCGTGTTGACGAAAACGGGTAAAGAAAACAAAAGAACACGAGAATTTTACGAGGTTCGGCAATGTGCTTACGTCCTCGGTGCCTAGGCGGCGCTAGAAGTTTTTATTCAATGATTGGTATTTTAGGTCTAGGTTACATCTCTATTTATAATAGAAAACCCTGGTACATAATTACAAAATTAACCTTGTACCGTACCGCGGGGGCTGCGCCCCCGCACCCCCAACCCACATAATTCGTAACCCCACAACGAGACTTTCTTTGTAAGGACAGTTGATGTTCGCTTCGCTCACTCCGCTCCATCTCCTGTCCTCTTTACTGGTATATTTATGAGCCATACCTAACAAATCTCCACCTTGGCGAATATCCTGCCTCTTGAAAATTCAATGTGGGTTGGGTTACCTTGATTCTTTAACAACTCGAAACATTCAACAAGTCCAAGCAATGCTTGAACTTGTCTGTCGTAACTGGCTTAGTGAACATATCAGCGGCATTTTCATCAGTATGTACCTTCTGAAACAAAACCTCTCCAGATGCAACCAACTCTCTGATCTTGTGGAACCTTACATCAATATGTTTAGTTCTAGCACGATACACCTGATTCTTAGCCAACTGAACTCCACCTTGTTGAACACCCAACTCCTTCACTAAACCAGTAAGCCATAAAGCTTCTTTTGCAGCTTCAGCCGCTGCCATGTACTCAGCTTCAGTTGTAGATAGAGCCACAATAGATTGAACAGTAGACTTCCAACAAATAGGCCCTCCACCAAGAGTAAAGACATACCCTGTCGTAGATCTTCTATTATCCAAGTCACCTGCATAGTCTGAATCCACATATCCTACAACCAAAGGATTATCCCGCTGACTCCCAAAAACAATTCCATGTCCCACAGTACCCTTTAAGTACCGAAAGATCCACTTGACTGCTTCCCAATGTTGCTTACCAGGTTTAGACATGTACTTACAAACTTGACTAACAGCATGAGCTAAATCAGGACGAGTACATACCATCGCATACATCAAGCAGCCAACAGCATTAGAATACGGAACCTTTGCCATATCTTCAGCTTCCTTATCTGTCTTGGGGCACTGTTCTGATGAGAGCTTAAAGTGATTCGCCAATGGAGTGCTAACTGGTTTTGCGCTGCTCATCGCAAACCTTTCTAGCATTTTCTCAACATAACCCCGTTGAGATAGCCGCAGTTTCCTTGAGTCTCTGTCCCTGCAAATTTCCATTCCAAGAATTTTCTTTGCAGCACCTAAATCTTTCATATCAAATTCCTGACTCAATAAAGTTTTCAAACCGATAACATCATCCATGTTCTTCGCAGCAATCAACATATCATCAACATACAGTAATAGAAAAATAAAAGAACCATCATCAAGGCTCTTAACATAGACACAACAATCATACTCACATCGGTTGTAGCCAATCTTGATCATATAGGAGTCAAACCGTTTATACCACTATCTCGGAGACTGTTTCAACCCGTACAAAGATTTCTTCAATCTGCAAACTAAATGCTCGTTTCCAGGTTGAGTGAAACCTTCAGGTTGCCGCATGTAGATCTGCTCCTCTAAATCACCATGCAAAAAAGCAGTTTTAACATCCATCTGCTCTAAATGCAAATCCCAACTAGCCACCAATGCAAGTACTGCTCGGATTGAAGTGTGCCTGACCACAGGAGAAAAGATTTCATCATAATCAACTCCTTTCTGCTGTGAAAAACCCTTCGCTACCAAACGAGCCTTGAACTTCTCCCCCTCTTTTTCTGTTACTACTGGTTTCTTCTTATACACCCATTTGCAACCAATCGGCTTCTTACCCTCAGGAAGGGGAACTAACTCCCATGTGCGATTGTGATTCAAAGACTCCATCTCCTCAACCATGGCTGCCATCCACTTGTCGTTTTCCTGACTAGTAACGGCATCATGAAAAGTAACCGGATCATCACTGCTAACAATAAGTGCAAAAGATACCAAGTCTTCAAAACCCAATCTGTTCGGAGGCTTTATATTCGTCCGTCTCACCCTGTCTCTGGCGAGACTATAATCCTGCAAATCATCCGTAGTGGAACCACCAGAAGTCGGTTGAGAAGTTTCTGGTTTCTCAACTGGAAACTGCTCGAAATCCACCACTGTCGTGTCTTGCTTCTGCTGCAACATGGATTGTTCATCAAAAACGACATCTCTACTAATCACAACTTTCTTCGCAACTGGATCCCAGAACTTGAATCCTTTGACACCTTTCTTGTAACCCAGAAAAATGCACTCCTTCGATTTTGCATCAAGTTTGGATCTCTCATCAGCAGGTACATGCACATAAGCAGGACAACCAAAAATCCGTAAGTTATCAAAACTAACATCATGACCAGTCCATACCTCTTCTGCAACTTTCCCAGCCAGCGATGCCCTTGGCGATCTGTTGATAAGGTAACACGCCATGTTAACAGCCTCAGCCCAGAAGTGTTTGGGAATCCCCGCATTCAACCGCAAACATCTGGCTCTTTCATTCAACGACCTGTTCATTCGTTCCGCAACACCATTCTGTTGTGGTGTCTTGCGCACTGTAAAATGCCTCTGAATCCCATGCTCCTTACAGAATTGTAGGAACTGTGAATCTGTGTACTCCGTACCATTGTCAGACCGCAAACACTTGATTTTTCGTCCTGTTTGGTTTTCTACCTCAGCTTTCCACAGCTTGAACTTCTCAAAAACTTCAGATTTCTGTTTCAAAAAATACACCCAAACTTTCCGTGAAAAATCATCAATAAAAGTAACATAGTACCTAGATCCACCCAAAGACGATGTCATGGAAGGCCCCCATACATCAGAATGCACATAATCAAGAATCCCTTGAGTTGTGTGCTTCGCAGTCTTGAAACGGACTTTAGTCTGTTTACCAAGAACACAATACTTGCAAAAGTCGAGCTTACAGCTTTTGACACCATGCAACAAGTTTCTCTTGTGTAATTCTGCCATACCACGTTCACTAAGATGAGCAAGGCGCATATGCCACAATTTTGTCGTATCATCACAGGACTCAACAGAGTGAACTCCACCTGCAACGGTACTCCCTAACAATCTGTAGATATTCCCTGCAGTCATCTTGCCTTTCATCACAGTCAATGCTCCTTTAACAATCCGAATGGTTTCCCTATCCTCGTCAGCCTTAGGGATAAAACCATTCTTGTGCAAAGTGCCCAAGGAAATCAAATTCTTCTTCAAGTCTGGGATATGTCGAACACCACTCAACGTCCGAACGGAGCCATCGTGCATCTTAATTCTGACATCACCAATACCAACAATATTGCAACATCGATCATCACCCAAATAAACCGAACCAGAATTAACCGGCCTGTATGTCGAAAACCATTCCCTATTTGGCGTGATGTGATAAGAACATCCAGAATCAAGAATCCAAGCATCCGTCAATTGTGTCGTTGAAATAGAAAGCATATCACCCTCACTGCAATCAGAATTATCATCCTCGACCACGCTCACAGACTTGGATGAGCCATCACGCTTCTCATCAGTCTGCTTTTTCAACTTCGGACAGTCTCGCTTCATATGTCCCGCCTCCTTGCACTTGTAACAGTGAATCGTCTTCTTATCCCTGGATTTGGATCTGGAATTCCGCTTCCCGGACCCTGCCTTCTCTGGCTTCCATCCACGATCTCGATTACCCTTGACATATAAGCTATCGGCTTGAGAGCTTTCCCCTGCATTCTGCTTCCGCTGGTTGTGAGCCAACAAGGCTGCAGTAATCTCCTCAACATTGATAGTCTCTTTCCCATATGTAAGAGTAGTCACCATGTGTTCGTAAGAGGGAGGCAACGAACACAACAGAATCATCGCTCTGTCTTCATCCTCAATTTTCACATCAAGCCGAGCCAGATCAGAAACGATTTGATTGAAGACATTCACGTGTTGCGCCAAATCGTGATCGTCCTGCATCTTCAGCCCATACAGCCGCTGCTTCAGATACAGTTTTGTCGTTAAGGATTTGGACATAAACTGACTTTCCAACTTCCTCCAAATTTCGTCTGGAGACGATAGATGCATGACGTGATACATGACCTCGTCCGCCAAGCATAATCGTATGGTTCCTGCCGCTCGCTGCTGCAATTCTTCCCAATCTTCCTCATCCATCGACGCCGGCTTTGTAGATCGCAAAGCTTTCAAGATCCCTTGCTACGCCAATAGATCCTTCACCCTCGTTTGCCATAATCCGAAGTTACCCTGACCATCGAATTTCGCGACTTCGAATTTTGCTCCTGACATCTGATACCAATTGTTGACGAAAACGGGTAAAGAAAACAAAAGAACACGAGAATTTTACGAGGTTCGGCAATGTGCTTACGTCCTCGGTGCCTAGGCGGCGCTAGAAGTTTTTATTCAATGATTGGTATTTTAGGTCTAGGTTACATCTCTATTTATAATAGAAAACCCTGGTACATAATTACAAAATTAACCCTGTACCGTACCGCGGGGGCAGCCCCCGCACCCCCAACCCACATAATTCGTAACCCCACAACGAGACTTTCTTTGTAAGGACAGTTGATGTTCGCTCGCTCCATCTCCTGTCCTCTTTACTGGTATATTTATGAGCCATACCTAACAAGTCGAAGTATGAGTAGAGTCCCTCGACTTTGTATGACATATGTAAATTACATATGAAAAAAATATATATATGTATTGTATATGGCTATAAAAAAAATTTAAATTAGAATGAAACAATGTATTATATTATAAATATTTACAATTAAATTTAAATAGAAACTCAAAAATTTGACTCGACTCAAATTTTATAAACTCGACTCGAAAAATTTCGAGTCAACTCGAATAATTCAAATATTTTTGACTTGACGCGATCGAACGCTCACCCCCTATCTATAAGTTGTTGAAATAAACAATATATTTCTACTTACAATTTATTTTTGATTATCCTAAATTGTTCTATAAAATTTTCAAATAAATAATATATCTGATTATAGTTTATTTTGATTTTCTATAAGTTGTTTTACTGTGTTTTTTACAAGTTGTTCCTTTACCCTACTGTCTTTTTACAACATGCATTTAGTGTGTGTTTTATTTTTCATATGTTTCCTTCAATAGACAAAACAGTGAGATCAACAAACATAAACTATCTTTATATTAATTCTAATAGACAAAACAGTAAAATCAACGATCAAAAAAGACAATTTGATCAATACAACATTTAAAATAAGGGTGAATTATCCCATTCATATATGAAGTATACTAAAATTTCAGTTTCTTACATAATTTTTAAAAATTCTCGATTTCATATATGGTGTTTTCTACTGTTAACAAGTTCATCCATTTCCGTCACAGAATGTGACATGAAACTCTATGACCACTATCAAAATGTCATGTGACACTTCAAAAAAACATTTTTTTTATAAAAAATAACCTCTCACATTCAACCATTCAAACAGTTGCCCATTGTCGTTCAACCTTTTCCGACCGACCATGGTGTGCACCGCCGTCATCACCGACATCGTCGTTGTCCCGCAATCAAATTTCGACCGTCGGTTACCTCTATTCGCCCGTCGTTCATCGAAAATCAGTGAGAGACGATGGCGTTACTTGTCGTCGATCTTTGCCGTTGTAGGTCAGTGATCGCCACTACCATCATCACCGGAGTGTCTTGCCACCACGACCAAAACCCTGTCGACCGTTTGTTGTGAATCGTCGTCGATCTCCGTGGAAGATGCTTCGAAGTTTCACTGGAAATAAGTTTCTTGTGCTGTTTTTTCATTGTTTCGACCGACCCCGACATCTGTGAGCCTCACAGGCATCACCACTAGAATCCCCAGGCTATTTGTATCAAAACCTAGTACGTCCCCTCGCCTTCGTTGCCTTCTCCGATAGTTGTCGTTGGTCTCGTTGGGATATTACACTAATTATGGGGAAAATAGGAAAATAGAGGGAAAGTTTTAATTTTTAAAAAAAATTAAAAGTACCACATGTCATTTTGTTAGTGGTCACAGGATTCTACTTCATCTTCTGTGACGAAAATGGATGAACTTGTTAACCACAAAAAATATCATATATGAAATCGAAAAGTTTTAAACATTATGCATAGAACTAAAAATCTAGTATACTTCATGTATAAATAGGATAACTAACCCTTAAAACAATAATTTTACAGTAGTGGACATAAAAGACAACACAGTATAACATATCTTACTATTTTCGATACAAAATAGTATACAAACAAAAATTTAAACAACATAGCATAAAAATAATATGAGGTTTTCTATAAGTTTAATCAACAATACAAGGTTGTTGATGCAACATAGTACTCAAACAAAATCTAAAACATAAGCTGGGTACGATATTTAAGAACAAAAATGTAAACAATACAACACATTATAATTAGTGGAGTTAATTGAATCATATGTCCATAAACTATAATCCTCATTTTAAATTGGTCCTTAAACTTTTGAATATTCCAATTTCATCCCTAAACTATGACTCTATTTCTAAATTAGTCCCTAAACTTTTAAACATTTCAATTTCATCCCTAAACTATGACTCTTTTTCTAAATTGGTCCCCAAACTTTTTGAACATCTCAATTTCATCCCCAAATCCATCCATATGTGTAATTGGTTTCAGCCATAAATTGTTTTTTTTTCAAACATATAATAATATAAGTTGGCTTAACAATTTTATTAACAAGAGATGTGATTAATATATACGTATACTTTGGGATGAAATTGGATTGTTCAAAAAGTTTGGAAGGGATAAATTTGGAACATTTAAAAGTTTATGGACCAATTTAAAATGAGGGTCATACTTTGAAGGCATATGATGTAGTTAACTCTAATCAGTGAGACAAAATCAGAATACACCTTACTATTTTTTATTAAGTTGATAACAAATTATAGATTCCCTAAAAAGATACTCATGAAGATCAACTAATCATAGCATAATAGAAACAATTTGAAGAAGCAAGTAGACAAAAACAAAATATTAAAAAAGGGGAAATGAAGGAAATAAAAATTGACCTATGAAGCTCTTTCTTTTTCTTTTTTGAGTTGTTGAATGATCGGAGTCCCGCTAGAAAATATGAAGGATTAAAAGTTGAGAAACAACGTGAAGATGAGCATAGCATGAAACTAGGTTGATCCAATGATGAAAGTTTTAAATTGAATACAGAGTGATTTTGACTCAAGAGGTTTATGGTCAGATTCAAGTGGTGGTTCAACCATAGAACGAAAAAAAATCATTAAAAACTTGACAATTTCCAAGAGAAGGGAAACGATGATGCTAAATTCGTGGAGTTTGAGGTGTTTTTGGTTAAATATGTACAAGACTCACGCTCACGAGAGTGAAATGAGTTTAGTGAAAAATGATCGTCGTTGACAATGATTAGTTGCAACGAGCGGTGGTCGGGATCTAGACATATAGAGATAAAAAGGGAGAGGTGGAAAAAGGAAGAATAAAGTAGAGGAAAATGAAGAAATCGGGAAATTGGATTTTATAAGAATTCAAAACGGCGTCGTTTTTAAATAAATTAGACTTTTCTAAAACGATACCTTTGGAAAAACAATATTGTTTTGATGAAAAAACTCCAAGATGCACCATAGAGTACAAAGAACTAACAATACACTAATCTCGACATAAAAATAACACTTCTTTTGTATTATAATGTTAAAAAAAACTGAAACGTAATTTTTTTATTAATATAGAGATATTGATATTTTTGGAAATAGAAAATTCCACGTCAATCTTAATAGAGATTTCCTCTCAAATATCGGATTACAAATTATTCATTAATTAAATTAGTTACTTTTCTGCTCCCATGGGGATAGTTATATTATACATCAGTCTAATTTAAGACTAAAAAATAGTGATTTTGGGACATAATCGAATATGTGATAAAAATGAGAACACTTTAGGTTGAGCGCAATCTAAAATGTTATTTTTTAATTAATATTTTTTATTGAACAAAAAATGTTAAGAAAATGATACCATTTTAGGTTATAATCAACTTAAAATATTATGATTTTTATCACGTTTTCGATTTCACCCTAAAATCACTATATTTTAACATTAAATTAGGTTGTTGCTTCTTATACTTCCCTACCCCATGTCATGACACCGTGTTTACATATTCATATATATAGGGCTAGCCTTAAGTTTATGCATCCAAATGGCACCACCATTGCTGTGTTTCTTTACTTCTGTAAAAAAATCTACACCTACCTCTCTGCCACACCCATTTAAGATGAATTTCTCATTTGCAGAACTGTGGGTCCAATTCAGCCTCATGAAAAGAACCTTCAATTCCCTCGGAAACTCACGTTCCATCATGGTCTGATCCTTTTCTAGTGGGTTTTGACAGGTTGCACAAGTTTTGTGCTTCAACAATTAGCCAACTAATCACATAGTGTTTCCATTGTAACTCACAGGCTAACCGTATATCAGATAACCCATGGATCAAGGAGGTGTTCGGATGCGATCGCAACCTTCAAAAATTTCAAAACCACACCAACAGCAAAGTCTTCATCAGGGAAGATGAACCACACCATATTAAGTGCAGGTTCCATATTGGGAAGTTTAAAGATCCTGTATTTAAGTAAATATTAATCTCATGCCAATACTAATCCACTGATCCCATATTAATATAAGTTTCTGTAATAAGTAAAACTAAATGAAATGCCACTTGGACAAGCAATCTCTTTTTCTCCCTAGAAGTTGATTATAGCTCAATTATCTATATGTAATCATAATTATGTATATGATTAAAGACCAGGCTTGATTCTACATGTTCCATGAGTTGATGTCCTTTGTTAGAGGAAAAAAAAAAGGAAAACCATTTGAAGCTCAGTATTGTTTCAAGAATTCAAAAATAGATATTAATACAACATATAAATGCACCTGCTGTCATCAACTAACCTCAGCAGGTTTACCTGTTTCCATTTATTTCACCTGGTTCGGGTTTTATATTGATCATCCCCTTCCTTCTTCCCTTACACCTTCCACTTTTTGCTGTTGTAGTAGTCATCTTGTACCACACAGACATGGCGAGGGAAAGGAACAAGCAGCTTTGTTTGATGTGGGTTTTGGTTGCTGGCTTGCTCTGCCAAAACTTGGTCGTTCCTGTGAGCTCCATTGATCTTGGGGAGCAGAAAAACTACTATCCATCACCAGACCCTCATGCAGGAACTCCCCCCTCAGGTATAATGGTTCATACAAGTTGTCTGATCTGATGTTTCCGTTTTGTTGTGGATGCTGATTGTAATTGGTGTAAGTGCAGGTTCACATGGAACACCACCATCCCACGGCTCAGGTGGTGGCACGCCTCCCTCTCATGGAACCCCATCGCATGGAGGTGGTTACCACCATACACCATCAACACCATCAACGCCTTCAGGTGGAAATTGTGGAACCCCACCACATGAACCATCAACTCCATCGACACCACCGCGAACTCCTTCGCACGGTAGTCCCCCATCATATGGAGGTGGCAGTCCACCAACACCAGTAACTGTAAGCCCGCCAACTCCCATTATCGATCCAGGAACTCCAAGCACACCTCCATCATATGGAGGTGGAAGTCCGCCAACTTATGGAGGTGGCAGTCCACCAACACCAGTAACTGTAAGCCCACCGACTCCCATTATCGATCCAGGAACTCCAAGCACACCTCCATCATATGGAGGTGGAAGTCCGCCAACTTATGGAGGTGGCAGTCCACCAACACCAGTAACTGTAAGCCCACCAACTCCCATTATCGATCCAGGAACTCCAAGCACACCTCCATCATATGGAGGTGGAAGTCCGCCAACTTATGGAGGTGGCAGTCCACCAACACCAGTAATTGTAAGCCCACCAACTCCCATTATCGATCCAGGAACTCCAAGCACACCTCCATCATATGGAGGTGGAAGTCCGCCAACTTACGGTGGTGGTAGTCCACCAACACCAATAATCGATCCAGGAACTCCAAGCATTCCCACACCCCCATTCTTTCCTGCTCCAACTCCACCAATCGGTGGTACATGCGAGTAAGTCATTGTAACTTCCATCAGTTGCTTGCTTCTACCATCAAGTTACTAACATCTCATAATTGTAACTTTCAGTTTCTGGAGGAGTCACCCCACACTGATATGGGGTCTGCTTGGTTGGTGGGGAACTTTAGGCAGTGCATTCGGCATGACCAGCGCTCCTGGGTTCGGAGCAACCATGAGCTTGCCCCAGGCACTTTCAAACACACGTAGTGATGGACTTGGGGCGCTTTACAGGGAAGGAACCGCCTCGTTTCTCAACTCCATGGTAAATCACAGGTTCCCATTCTCGACTGAGCAAGTGAGGCAGAGTTTTGTGTCAGCGCTTGGCTCAAACAGTGCTGCAGCAGCACAGGCTCATCTCTTCAAGCTCGCCAATGAAGGCCACATCAAGCCCAGGACCTAAGCAAAAACCTTCCAGTGTGTCAGTTTCTTGAAGCATTTTATCCACTAGTGTGTGCTACTTAGATTTTATGTTCCTAGTATTTGAACTTCTATAATGCCTACAGCTATCATTTGGATCCATACTTTGCCTAGAACTAAATGTTAAGTTTATGTTTTATTATTGTTAAATAAGATCTATTATGTTTCAGTTTCATATGTGATTTCATATACTAAATGTAGATTTTCTAATACATTTTCTGATAAATTTTTACTGGAATTTTCTTGAAAAAATTAAATTAAATTATAATATCAGATTTTGATTTGTAAACAAATTATTAGAAACTCAACCCTAAAAGTAGTTAAAATATAACCTGAAAATTTTCATAACTAAAAAATTTAGAGGGAAGATCAAATTTTGATCTCCTCCATTATAATTTTTTGTTTATGTCAATTTAAATTGTATCTATAAGCATGAGACCTAGTGACTTTGGTGGTAAAGAAATTGTTATTATTCTTTAAGGTCTTGAGTTCGAGCACCAAGAATGCTAGGGATACGAGCATTCGATGTCAAAAGATTGAGAGTTATTCTTGAACAGATACTATCTTGTACTTATCCTAGATTTAACAAATAAAAATTGTATATATAAAATTTTAATTTTAATACATTTTGAAAAAAAAAAATTTAAATATTTTGAGACATTAAATTTTAAAAATTTTAAAAAAAAATCTATTGAGCAGCAGTAAGAACAGGAGACTGCCTGCATGGCGAGTTCAACAACAGGAGCGTAATAAGAACAAATGAGAAGTAAATGCCTGATTAAATGGTCATAATACAGAGAAGTGAAACTTGCAGATAGCCCACAGTGTATTTCATTTATTATATAGCCTAGCTGTTGCAATTCCATGAACCATATTTAAGAGGGGATTTAACATAAGAAACTAGAATCTTTTAGGGTAAATTACAAAAATGTCTTCCGATTATAGAGTGTTATTTTATTAAGTACTCCGATTATTAAAATTTGCAAAATGATCCATCGATTATAGTGCATTGTTTTGTTGAGTCCCCTAACTATTCAAAATTACAAAATAATTCTCCGACTATTCATATGTTCTAAACTTATCATTTTCTATTAAAAGATTAACGACACCTCCATGTGATTATACTTTGATCTTTTTTACAAAGTGGAAACAAGTCCTATAATGACAACATGATCTTTAAATTTATGTGGTGGCATGTCTTTAGTTAAAGGATCAACCAACACATGCTCAATGTTAATGTACTCATGAACACTTTTTTCTTCTTTAGCACATTCCTTTCTGGTTGGATACTTAATGTCGATGTGTTTACTTCTACTTCTACTTTTGTTTTCCTTAACTATAAAGACAACAACAAAATTGTTACGATATATCATTAATGGCTTAGAATCCGAGTCCACAAATCTAAGTTGAAAAATGAAACTCTTCAACCATACTCCATGTGAGTTAGATTCAAAAAAAGAAATGAACTCAACCTCCATAGTGGAGTACCAGTTAAGGTTTACTTGACACTCCTCCACGATATAGCTCTGCTAGAAAAAGTAAATATGTAACCTAATGTTGACCATCACTAGCTGAGAATCTTAATGATACCCGCCTAAAGGTTATTGTGTCCTGTAAAAACCCTTAGAAGTGATTTAGTCCTAATTGGTATAATGGTAGAATGGATGCCCACCTAAAGGTTAACAAAGATCTTCCACATTTGTGCCCCGAATAAGGAAGACGAAACTACTACCTTGGAAGCGATTTCATCTTAATCGATGTAATCGTGAAATAAAAGTTGCCCCTCAAAGTCAACACAAAGCTTCCATATTCATATACCCAAATGAGAAGATGAATCCGATCAACATTTCTCTTTTCATTAGAAGAAAACTGGATTTTTCGCTGTGTTTAAGAATGAATAGACTTTCCTTTAATAGGAAAAACGAAGGGGAAAAAGGATAAAATAAGAAGGTGCATTTTTTTTATAAAAATCTCGACAATCCGATTTGGAAAAAATCTGATAAACATTCTTGATTATATAAAACAATCTGCTAGAAAATTACACAAATAATGTCCTAAAAAATGCACGTATACATATTTTATCTTCAATAACTCAATGAGAGTAAGTTCAAAAAGACTATACTTAACACTTGTAGAAGACTATGTTTAACGACATGGGATTTGCTTCTTTGCCTTACTCACATAACCTGCTTGTACTTGCACTCAAATACCATTGTAGTACTAAACCTGCATTTTCATACTCATCCATTCAAGGAATACATAGAACATAGTCATTGTTGATTCACCACCATAGATGACTTTTCAGGAAACTCAGGTGCCAATGTAAGTATTTCAGTTTACCCTACTTTCCAGAATATGGAAGAAGGCGTTAAAAAGAGTCTTGGTATTTGCATATGTTAAGAGCAATCAACAGTAACAAACAAGCTAAGTTGCAGGCAGTTAATGGTGTCACAAACAAGATACAGGTTGAAATCTGTAGCATTTATTGGATGTCTGACTTTGAAGAAAACATATTGTGAATATTTCAACGAGTTAATAAACAAGTATGGCTACCATATGATCATGACAGATACAGTTGAGAAAAACAGAAGATGATCAATAAGGTACGCTATTTTCATGCCGTGCTTTGCTTTATTATTGTTAAGCATCCACCCTAAAAAAAGTGGTAATAGGTAGAAGGTCCAGTTTCGGTATAAGGACATGAAACTAAATACATAATAGGTGGAAGATAGCACCCCTTGACACTCCCCCTAACGTGTAGTTCAGGATGGACTCAGACGTGAACAATCTCATCAAGGGTCGTCAATCACATATTTAGCTGACATGGGAAAAACGATCACAAGCTATTTAAGATCGACTCGATTAAAATTCGATAAATACTTGACTTGAACGGACTTGATTCGAGCTCGAGTTCTTAACGAGCCCAAACGAGCTACTTCATATTTGACCCAAAAAGCTCGCGAGCAACTCGAAAAAATAATATATTAAAATTTTATTTTTTAATAATTAAATTATTAATAATATTAAAATTTATATGTTGATTTTTTAAAAAAATACAATACAAATGTACTTATAATTCAGGTTCGAGTTCGAGCTCAAGTTTTAACCAGGTTAAGTTTAAGATTTTTTTCTGAGTTTTTTCGAGCTTCAATTCATGGTTTCCAGTTCGAGTCGAGCTTCAATTCAAAGTTTTCGAATTTAGTCGAGCTCAACCATACTCGAACTCAACTCGCAGTGGCGAAAGTCAACAAATTTTCTTGGAGGGGCCATTTTAAGAAAATTGTATATATTAACTAACTGCTTTCTATATTTTTATCAATATAAATTGTATATCAAAATATTATTTTAATAAAAGAAAATTTTATTAATATTTAAAATTTATCTGTTTTCATAAAAAGTTAAAGAAAAAAACTCATCGATAATAATGTTATCTAGAATTATATCAAAGTTTTTATTTTTTTGAGATGAAATTCATGAACCCACATAATAATATTTGAAATAAAATAATAAATATAAATTAAATTGAATTTTTTTTAAAATGACCTTCAACTAAGATGAAATTAAAAATTAAATATTTATAACTTGATTGAAGTCCTTAACTCAAAAAAAGATGAACAACTCAAAGAATATTAATGAGTGTTCTAAATTGATGATATTTGCTTGTTAATTCTTCCGTGCTATGTATTTATTACTACTAGTTTGGTTGTGTTGTGTTTATTTTCGTGCAGGATCCTATTTTCCAAAATTAGCAGTAAGAATGGCACATTCTATAATTTTTTATTATTTGATCATGGCTGGAGACATGGGCACGACACTGGGCATGACGTGGTTTGACGTGGAAGTTTCTAGAAGGTACAGTCAGTAGCAGTTCTAGAAGATCTAGTCAACACCTTCTGGAAGGTGGATGGGCAGAGTTATCTTAGGAGGAGTTGTTTTTTAAATTTAAAGTTTGAATTTGAAAACATTTGTAATTATCTTTAGAATTTATATATTTTAATTTCCATGATTATCTTTAGGATTTTCAAAGCTATAAATACCTCTTTGGGGTAAAGCTTGAAACACACTTGTTTTTAGATTTGATTTAGGAACTTTTGGTTATTTGGTTTTATAAAAAAACATTTCATTTTCATTTTTAAACATGCTAAGTATGACTTTTGTTATGCTTATCTAATTTTCTCATAAGCCGAAAGACTAAGTGATAACTCAATTCAATATGTGAGAATTGAAAAGCAATTAACATCATCGAGATGTCATTCTCAGTTTTCTAGAAACTTGGATAGGAAATCTACCTATCCTTTAAAATCAAAACACTTTCATTTCAAAAAGAGCTCGCTGGTCTGGATGTTGTTCTGATTTAAAGTTCGAAGGAAAGATTGGCTTGTAGCATATTCGACTTCCTGTGAACACACTTAGCGGCGATCCGCTAAGGAAAACTAAGATCTGGTTCGATTCTCAGCGAGACAACATAATCCGAGTCAGGTTTTTCCTAAACTCAAAATTGTTTTGTGCTAACGACGATAGTCGTAGTTGGTTCAATTAAAAGTTGGATTTCCAAAGATTGGCATTTGGAAAATCGGTTACCAAACTGAAAATCAAATTATAAGGGTTGGGGCTTGTAGACTATAATCAGCATGAATCCCAAAGTAAAATCCATTTCGATGATTAGAAACGAATTAAGTCAAAGCAAGACTTGAGGCTGCATTTTACCATAGTTATTTTCAACTTTACATTTTTAATCTTCTTTATTTTCACTCTTAATTGTTTTTCTTATTTAATCCTTTTTCCACCAAAATCCCCCTTATTTTATTTTCACTGCAGACTACATGGATCATATCCAACTCAAACTCAAATTAGAGAATTTTATAAGTCCCTGTGGACCGACCTTACTTCTCTTTACTATATTTTTTCCTTATTTTTTTTGAGAAGAAGAAATTTATTTGATAGAAAAATGACACTTGTCAAATTGGCGTCGTTGTCGGGGACTTCGCTAAAATAACTAATAAAGTTGTTTCTTTTTTATTTATGACCAGGAGATCTAGTAGAGTTAGATCCATAAATCAAATCACGAGCTAGGCAAATTCACGGAAAAAAGCTTCGAGAAAAAAGAAAAAAAACAATAGGAACAATGAGATCCAAAACTAA